CCCCTGCTCAGGCAGGAAACCCTATACCATTTCGGACAAATGGCTGTCCAGTCTCTTCTTAAAAACTTCCAGTGTTGGAGCATTCACCGCTTCTGGAGGCAGGTTGTTCCACTGGTTAAGTATTCGAACTGTCCGGAAGTTTCTCCTTAGTTCTAGGTTGCTTGTCTCTTTGTTCAGTTTCCATCCGTTGCTTCTTGTCCTGCCTTCAGGTGCTTTGGAAAATAGCTTGACTCCCTCTTCTTTGTGGCAGCCCCTGAGATATTGGAAGACTGTTATCATGTCCCCCCTTGTCCTTCTCTTCATTAAATTAGACATTCCCAATTCCAGCAACCATTCCTTATATGCTTTAGCCTCCAGTCCCCTAATCATCTTTGTTGCTTTTCTCTGTACTCTTTCTAGAGTCTCAACATCTTTTTTACATTGCGGTGAACAAAACTGGATGCAGTATTCCAAGGCATTATAAAGTGGTATAAACACTTCACGTGATCTTGATTCTATCCCTCTGTTAATGCAGCCTAGCACTATGTTGGCCTTTTTGGCAGCTGCAAACACTGCTGGTTCATATTTAAGTGATTGTCCACTAGGACTCCAAGGTCCCTCTCACAGTTACTACTATTGAGCAAGGTACCCCCTATACTATACCTGTACATTTGGTTTTTCTTGCCTAAATGTAGAACCTTGCTTTTTTCACCATTGAATTTAATTTTGTTAGATAGCGCCCAATGTACAAGTCTTTCCAGATCCTTCTGTATCTTAAGCCTGTCTTCTGGAGTGTTGGCTATTCCTGCCAGCTTGGAGCCGTTGCAAATTTGATGAGTTCCCCATCTATCCCATTGTCCAAATCGTTGATGAAGATGTTGAAGAGCACTGCGTCCAGAACAGAGCCCTGGGGCACCCCACTACACACTTCCCTGAGGACCACACGCTGAGTACGGCCAGTCAGCCAGCTACAGTCTACGAGTCTAAAAAATAGACAGAGTAATGGGAAACAGAGAAGTTAAATTCAAACAGACAGCACTTGTCACATAACACCCAACCCCCTCCCCCCCGACTTGACAATTGTTAATAAGAAAGACAAAAAAGTCTGGAAAATGGATGTAGCAGTACCTGGAGACAGCAAAAGAAAAGAGAAAATGGAGAAAATCATAAAATATAGAGATCTGCAAATAGAAGCAGAATGTCTCTAGCAAGAGAAAGCAAAGATAGTGCCAATAGTCATAGGGACTTTGGGTGCAATCCCAAAACAATAGGATCACCCCTTGAACACCATCGGCACTGACAAAATCACCATCAATCAATTGCAAATGGCGGCTTTACTTGGAACAGCTTACATCCTGTGACAATACTTTTAACATCATCACACAACAACATTTTCCTATCCCTGGTCCTTGGCAAAGACTCAACAGATGCACAAAAATACCAAATTCAGTCTGAACGTTTGGCTGACTGTGCCACAAACCGTAATAATAATTTTATTATTAAAAAATAAAAAAAATGTAAGGCAATGGCATACAATTGGAGCAAAAAAGAAAGAAACTGAAGGCTTGGTATTTGTTGCGCAAGAGCAAGCTGGTCAAATTAATGCCATCAAAGCCAGAACTGAAGAAAGAATGTTGAATGATTCAAAATGCGGATTGTGCAAAGAAACAGAAGAAACAGTACACCCTATTTGTACTCTCAGCTTGTGCAAGAAGATTGCATAAACTGATTATAAATAACGAGAGTACATAGTTGCCAGAATGATTCACTGGAACATCTGTAAAAATGATCATGTCCCAGTAGTGAAAAATTGGTGAGAAAATAAGAGTTAAGAAAAGCAGTTGAGAATGAGCAGGTTAAAATATTATGGGATTTCCAAATATAAACTGATGAAGTCTTGGCACATAATACACCAGATATAACCAGCTGAAAAGGAGAAATCGTGGATAATTGATTTGGCAATATCAGTGGATCTGGTCACTGTAGATAGGGGTATATCCTTCATTATCAGTAAAGTCATTAAAATCAAGTAAGTTAAATTTCCATTAATTAGTCAAACACATGGTTAAACTTAATCACAATTATACAGATTTCACTGCTCAGTTTCACACAAGCAATAAAGCATAATCAGTTGTCCAAATATCACACTTATAATGAATATGTTTACACAATAAGCCCAATTTATTTATGTTGCTTATTTTTATTTATTTTGTTCCATTTGGATGCCCACCCAATTCCCACCAACTCTGGTGGCATTGCAACCCATTGAACCATAAACTAACCTCACAAGCTGGGTTGAACCACAGGCAGCCAACCACGGTTTAACCCAGGGGTAAGCAATCTTGGCTCTTTTATGACTCATGGACTTCAACTCCCAGAATTCCTGAGCCAGCATGGCTCAGCTTGGAAACCTCTCCCTTTCCCCTTAGCATGGCTGGCTCAGGAATTCTGGAAGTTAAAGTCCACAAGTCATTAAAGAGCCAAGGTTGCCTACCCCTGTCCCAGTAGCCCTGCTGGCTCAGGAATTCTGGAAATTGAAGTCCACGAGTCATAAAAGAGCCAAGGTTGCCTACCCCTGGGTTAACCTAACAAGTAGTGTCGAGTAAATGAAAGGCTAGGCTTGGGAATTACAGATTATCCTTGATTTAAGACCAATTGCTCAACAACCACAGTATTTTCTCAACAACCATTGTGTTATCTTAACAATTGCAACAAAATAGATCTTAAAATTGATCATGGCCACATGGTGACCTGCTTAATGACTGTGTTGACTTATTACCATAACTCTCGGCTCAGTTATGATTGTTAACTTGAGGAATACCTATATTCCTTTCCATGGAGTTGCAAAGATCCTTATTTAGGAAATTTCAGGTTTATAGGCTAGACTAGGAATCTAGAAAGCATTCCAGAATCACAAACCATTTCCATCCTATTGTTGTTGTTCAGTCACTAGGTTGTACCAGACTTTTTGGACCCCATGGACCACAGCGTGCCAGGCCAACTTGAGTTTGCCCAAATTCAAGTTCATTGTGTCATTGATAACACTATCTAACCTGCTCTTCCTCTGCCATCCCCTTCTCCTTTTGCCTTCCATCTTTCCCAACATCAGGGTCTTTTCAAAGGCATCCTCTCATCTCATTTGGTGGCCAAAGTATTTGAGCTTCAGTTTCAGTTATCTGTCCTTCCAAAGAACAGTCAGGATTGATTTCCTTTAGGATCAACTGGTCCAAGAGACTCTCAACAGACTTCTCCAACATCACAATCTGAAATTTCATCCTATTATCTCCCATAAAAAAAATGTATGGAAACAAGGCTTGAAAACTTAATTTGGCCCAAAACAAATTGGAGAAGACAGTCATTATTGTCTTACAGTTGGTATTAAAATAACAGATTTTATTGATTTTAATGTTTTTTTTTGTTAGTTATTTTGTTGTCTTGTTTCTGTTTTTCAACTTTGTATGACACTGAGAGCCATGTCCCAGATGTGTGAAGGCGGTTCTCTAACTTTATCAAATAAATGAATAATTAAGTATATAAGTGTGCTCTCTGATTGTGCTCACACACATTCTGTGAAACCTACTATAATCCGGATTTTGCTTAGCTTTTTGTGTGATCTTATCACTGGCTTTGGAAAACCACCATTCATGGGGTAATGCAAGCCACCATTAGTTTGCAGTAGAATAATGAAGAATGAAGTAGAATAAAGTGGAATAATAATAATAATGATAATGAAAAATCACTAAAAGAAAAATGATGTGTCTGCATAGTTACTGGAATAAAGCTGTGTAAGCAATCTGTGACAAACCAAATACGCATGACATTTAGAAACATTGTGTGAAGTAAAACTCTCTTCATTGTATGCCTGTGAGAAACTAACCGAAGGAAATACAATGTAGATTTATGTATGGTTCTTTGTTCCTGAGAAATGGAAAGTATAAAACTGTAGTCTGAACCCGCCTCCTTTGTTCAGAATTGCTGGTTGTTAATCGCTTCTGAACCTTGCGCAAATAAATCTCTCTGCTACACCCTTTGGAATTCGTAAAAGTCTCTTACGTTTTTCTACAAGAAGTTGGGTTCACACAATGCACTAAGCCAAAGCCAAACTGCCATCTTCATGGCTCAGCGTGTTGCAGCAGCACAACTGACAGGGTGGATTATGATGAGAAAGAAACCTTAGTCACACATCATGCTAGGTCTGGGAATCCTTAACTATGGTTTATGGAATAAATGACAGTTCACTGTGTCTGTACAATACACTAAACCAGAAGTGTCCAAGCTTGGCCACTTTAAGACTTGAGCACTTCAGCTCCCAGAATTCCCCAGCCAATTAATTTAGCATGATCTGTGAACAAGGTTTCTTTCCCATCTCAACCCACCCTGTCAATCAGGCTGCTGCAACAGGCTGAGCCATAAAGATCGTGGTTTGGTTTTGGCATTGTGTGAAGCGAACTAATGATGGCTAGCTATAGTTCAACAAGTAGTGTGAACACAGCCCTCCTGTCTTTGTGGCACTGCCGTCCAGACGAGTTGATCACCCCCCCCCCCATATTGCTATGTTTATTGCCCACAGGGTTAATCCAGAGGGCACAAGGTTGGAGAAGGCATCTTCGGCGCAGCGGACTTCTCCGTCGCCATGACAACCCCTCCATCTACAGTCCTGCATTCCAGCCCCACCTCTCCGACCGGTATTCCCCTGTGCTCCGCCTCCCTCGATCAAGCCCCTCCCCTTCCCGCCCTCTTCCAGTCACCGCCCTCTCCTCTGGACGGCGGCCCCGCCTCAGTGGACCCTTTGAGCCAATCAGAGAAGGAGGGAGGCGAAGGCACGTTGAAAAATTAAAAAACGAGCGGGGAGGGGAAGGGGAGTCTGATCGCCGGCGGGCGGCCGCCGCTCTGCCTTTTTGTGGCGCGCGCGCATGCGCGAGGGAGGAACCGGTTGAGCGTCAGTGAGGGCGCGGGGGGGGGAGAGGGGGAGGTAAACAAGATGGCGGCGGCGTGTTAGTTGCGGCGGTAGGAAGGCAAGGAGAGGGCGACGGGGGTTTGACGTTGGGGGAGGAAGGGGAGCAAATAGCCCCCCACCGCTGCCCCTGGGTGAAGAGGCAACCCCGTTTCCTCCGTAGGCTCGGTGGAGGAGACGAAGAGCGGCTCCCTTTCCCGGGTCTGCCTGCCTGTCTTGTCTGTCTCTCAGATGAGTGAGACGTCGCGGCCTTCTCTTTCTTGAAGGGGGGGGGAGCCTTTAGGGAAGGCCCCACATTGGGGAGAAGCCCGTCCTTGTCGTGGTGTTCAGGCGAGTGAGTGACAGGGAGGTCTTGGGATTTATTTGGGAAAGTTGGGCGGTGTGTATATGGGTCTGCTGAGGGGAGAGGTGGAAGCCTAAGAGGAAAAAGAGGGGATTTTGGGGTGGTCTCTGAGTTGAGTCCCCTTGATTTGGGGGAAAAGAGACCCTTCTTAGCAAGGAAATATTGTCACTTGCCCTCCAATTTCAGGTGTTGTAAGTACTCTCTGCGCACAGGGAGGGGAGGAAACCTACAATTGTCCCCCTTTTCTTTTTTTGTGGGGGATGCCTATTAATGACCCTTCTTTTATAAGACCAACCATTTCCTGGAAATAGAAAACTATAACGAAAAGCCCCCCCTCCCCCCCGTAATTGGTTTCTTCCTGAATGGAATGGATGACTGTTAGCAATCTTTTTTTTTTTTTTTTAAAAAAAAAAACAACAACAACCCAAAATTGTTATTTGTTACATTCTTCAGTTTTAAAAATTCCTTCAGTGGACCTCTCTTTTGAAGGCAGATAAAAATATTATAATTTTGTCAAGTTTTTTTTTTCTCTCTCTCTCTCTCTCTCTCTGCTTGGGAGGAAAAAAAAATGGGCATTCTCCCTTGAGGGAGATCTTTAGAGTAAGTCTGTATTTTGGATATAGGGAACTTCGTGTTGCTGATTTCCACTGTATCCAGTCAGTTGTAAAGAAAGGCATTGATTGAATTATTATGTTAGAGGGCAGTTCTATTTCCTGCTAAGTTGGGTTATAGCAAAAAGGGATATCTCTCTCTGCCTTAAACTTGGGGAAAAGGTAAGCTCTGTTTAAGAGCATCTTTTAGTAGTAATATTGTTCTGATTGGCGGGGGTATTAAGGCACTGAAAAAAAGCCTCCTTCGAGAAAGAAGATAGAGTCCATTTACTTACACATTTCCCAAGTTTGACATGTGCCTTGCTTTCTGAATTTATGGGAACAATGTAATGGTTAGAGTAGGAGCTATTTCTTTTTATTGTTTCCCTTTCACATGCTAGGAATAGCCTTCCTTGGTACTCAAGGCCTACTGAGGTCATTTTTTTAGTATTTAGCTTAAAGAGAAAGTGTGTGTGAGAGGGGGGGGGTATTATTTTCAATAGCAAGAAAGGCCAGGACCAGACATTAACAAATAATCTGAGGAGTGCTTACTGAAGTTGTATTTCTGAATTGATGGTTTAAAGTATAGATTTTTGCCAAATTAAAAAAAAACAAACTTAGAAGCGCTTTCCCTTTTCCAGGGTAGTTACTTAATCTGAAGAAGTGTTGTTCACGATATCTTAACCACATCCAGCCCTGTTTATGGTGGGTCCCTAGTACTGGGAAAAACTGAGTAAGGTTTGCACTGCCTGCCTACCTTGATACCTGAAGCGGTGGGGTGACACATCATGTGTCAGGTAGACCCCAGGTGGTTGAAGGATGCCCCTTACTAGATACAGAAGGCCTGTCAAGGGTGAAAAAGAAACCGTTAAAATCAGTATTGAAAATTCCTTTAAAGAGACTTGGTTTCAGCTTCCCAACGGCTGAAAGGATCCTTCACACAAGTTGCACTTGGGTGGTGAGAGCAGAAGTCGCGTCTCGATTTTCCACGTTACACTTTTGGAAACAGGAGCTGTTGTTTCTTGCTCAGCAATGGCACACCCTTAAAAAAAAAAAAAGCAATTTTGATGTTTTGATTTCAACTGTGGACAGTCTTTTGAAGATGACTTAGGTCTCAAGAGAAAAAAAAGAGTTTGGACTTACTAAGGAAGTCATACTGATTTCAAATTCTTGGAGTAGCAAGACAAGATCAAAAAGTTAAAGCTAAGTGTAAATTGAGCAAACAGCTGCATCGATTTCTTCCCCCCCCCCTCTGCACACGTTCTTTTAAAAGAGGCACTATAAATTGGAATGTGGTGCTGGATCTCTGTAGGATCCCTTCAGTTGATGGAAAAGTTCTCATAGGTTTTTATTTTTCATTTTAAATTAAAACTTTTGGAATATTCTTACTTGCCTCCACTGAAACCCATTTTTTTTCCAGTCAAAGATTTTGGGCACAAAAGAGCATTGGATATATCAGGAACTGGATTTATAACATATTTTTGCTTGGGGGAAAAACGACCAAGATGGATCTAGAGGAGCCTCAGCAGCTGGGCATGTTTGTGGAAGGTGAATTGATGTCCGTGGGCATGGACACGTTCATCCACCGAATTGACTCGACGGAAGTGATCTACCAGCCTCGGCGGAAAAGGGCCAAACTCATAGGCAAATATCTGATGGGGGACCTGCTTGGGGAAGGGTCTTATGGCAAGGTCAAGGAGATGCTGGACTCTGAAACCCTCTGTAGGAGAGCTGTCAAAATTCTTAAGAAGAAGAAGCTGCGACGGATCCCCAATGGAGAAGCTAATGTTAAAAAGTAAGTATTGGCGCGTACTTAACAAATGCTTGCTGAGGCTTTCTTAACATGTGACATTTGCAAGGTAACATCTGTACCTACAAACGTGAAATGTGAAGGAGAGAAAAAGCAGCTGCCAGAGAATATTGTGCAAATGTTCAGTGGGCCCTGTGAAATAGCTGTTAGAGGTAGGGGTTGGGTGGGAGTAATTATTAGTCTGTGGCTGCTGTTTTTAATTCTTTGTTCAGAAAGAGATTTCTGAGTGACGTTAAATATCAACATCTGTCAGTCAACCTTCTGAGTCTCTAAAGTGGGAGGAAGAATGATAAATAAGAAAGGGATGCCAGTGGTGGCGAACCTATGGCACGGGTGCCAGAGACGGCACTCGGAGCCCTCTCTGTGGGCACACGTGCCATTGCCCCAGCCTCGCCTCCCCCTGCGACCCCCTCCTCTCCAGCAACCCCCCTAAAGGAGAGTCGCCCCTGAGCGTGGCCCATGCGGAGCAGCGCAGCCAAGAACATGGCAGCCAGGCAGCGTAGACAAGACTCTGCCCTCACGCCCCATCCCGCACAGTTGATGCTGCAGGGCGCGGGCAGAGGGTGTGACTGCCATAGCGCTGCTGGGCTGCCTGGGTGATTGGCGGGCCCTGGATGCAGTGAGTGGTCCTGTGGGCAAGCGGGGCAAGGGATGGGGGGACAGAGCAGGGGTGGGGCAGGGGGGGTGGAGCGGGGGCGGGGCCAGTTTTTGGGCACTCGGTCTCTAAAATGTTTGCCATCACTGCCATAAGACATTATTGACTAGCACTCCAAGAACAGTTACATGAGGATTTGGCATATTTAATTTATTTACTCTTGATTTTGAGTCCACCTCATTTTTATAAATACACAAAGTTGGGAAAATATATATATAATACTCCCCCCCTCCTGTTTTCCCCACCACAATTACCCTGTGAATGACTGGCCTAAGGTTATCCAGCCAGCTTTCAAGGCTAAGGCAGAACTAGAACTGGTCATTTCCTGATTTCTAGGCCAGTATTTTAACTACTACGCCATATTGGCTTTACATGCCGCATCTCCCTTGGGTTGCATGCGTACAATTCCCTAAAGCTGCTAAAGTTCACCTGTGAGGTTATTCGTGTTCCGAATTAAAATTTGAAAATAGAAATGTTTTTTTCCTGTTGGCTATGTTTATCTCTCTTCAAAAGGCAGTGTTTTACAATTACAAAGGTAGGCTAACTTTTCTGGACTAGAAGTCTTGTGGTTTGATCATGGAAGAGTGGTTGCCAACATCTCTTTCCAGTTTTACTTTCCAGTGCTATCGGTTTGAGACATTCTGAATAAGTAAATTCTAGCTTTTCCAGTAATAAACATAAATAACACAAGGAAATGAGAGGACTGAAAACGTGCGTTTGTTTAGCATATCAAACCAGCTCAATTTTTACCTTGCTTTAAAATTACTGCTTTTTATTGGACTTGATTTATTAGTTACTGTACATGACTGTCTTGTTGAACTAACATGCAACTGTAAATAGTACAAATGAACCTAAAAATGCAATTACATCCAATTCAAACATAACTCTGCATAACGAGGTGATAAAAATGATAACTGAGGCATCAATCTCAGCCTTAGCCTATGAAATAGAAAATTATAATTCGGTGACTTCCCAGCCATTTGGTTTTACAGGTGGTCCTTGATTTATGACCCCAATTGGGCCCAACATTTCTGTTGCCAAGTGGAACATTTGTTAAGTGAACTTTGCCCCATTTTACGATGTCTCTTGCCACAGTTAAGTGAATCACTGCAGTTAAATTAGTAACACAGTTGTTAAGTAAATCTGGCTTCTCCATTCACTTTGCCTGTCAGGACACAAAAGGTGAACATGTGACCCCCCGGGACACTACAACTGTCATAAATGTGAGTCAGTTGCCCAGTGTCCGAATTTTGATCACGTGACCACAGGGATGCCGCAACAGTCATAAACAGTCATAAGTCATTTTTTTCAGTGCCATTGTAACTTTGAACGGTTACTAAATGAACTGTTATAAGTTCGATACAGGACTGCCGGACTACCTGCAGTGTCTTCCAAAAGGTTGCCAGTGGAGTCTCTCAGAGCAGGCGTTTCTACAGTAATAATAATAAAGTTGGAAGGGACCTTGGAGGTCTTCTGGTCCAACCCCCTGCTCAGGCAGGAAACCCTATACCAGGAGTAGGCAACCTTGGCTCTTTTATGACTCATGGACTTCAACTCCCAGAATTCCTGAGCCAGCCATGCTGAGGGGACAGGCAGAGGTTTCCAAGCTGAACCATGCTGGCTCAGGAATTCTGGGCGTTGAAGTCCACGAGTCATAAAAGGGCCAAGGTTGCCTACCCCTGGCCTATGGCCTATACCATTTCAGACAAATGGCTGTCCAGTCTCTTCTTAAAAACTTCCAGTGTTGGAGCATTCACAGCTTTTGGAGTCGGGTCGTTCCACTGGTTAATTGTTCTAACCGTTGGTGTGGGGGCTACCATAGAAAGTCGCTATCTCGGAGATACCAGCCCTTTTAAATCTGTAGAGATGGGTGAATATCCCTATCCCGAATGAATGCACAGGATAGGCCAGTTTTGAGGAGGCAATCCTAAGATGCGAAGCAAGCAAATAATAAAAGGCATTTTAGACTAAAGTCATCGCTGGAAAACTGTGGGAAGCTAGCGCTGTGCCCCAAATACAATACAAATACAATCGTTGTGATTTGCATCAATTTCAGTTTCTGATTTTTCTTCAAGGGCAGCCTATGTAAATTACGTTGTCTAATCTTAGGGTGATAAGAACACTGTTTACTACTGTTAGGGCTCTTGCTCCCGATAGGCCCGAGCTGGGTGAAGTTCTCCTTTCTAGGAATTGCTGATTAAAAACTCAAACAAATCTGTGGTGCTTGCTTTAACTGCATGGTTTACATTGCTGAGGTGGTTTTTTGGGGGTGGGGGGTAGCAATATTTCCCAAGTAATTGCTTGGATTCTCTCAAAGGTTCTTGTATTGGCATCCAGACGTTAAACACACGGGTTTGTAAAACTCTGTATTCAGAAACAATTTGTGTAACACAGCTCATTCTAATTGCCCCTCAAAATCAGGAGTCTGGTAGCATCATTTCCGGCTGACAAATTTTATTAAAAGGTATAATAAGCTTTTGATAAACTGATGCTTAGCCACTCTTTACATCCATGAAGCGGGCTGCAGCTCGTGAAAGATAAAAGTTGTGAATTGGAAAAGTTGCTACCAGATTCCTGGTTTTTGAGACCCTAGTCCAGGGGTAGGCAACCTTGGCTCTTTTATGACTCGTGGACTTCAACGCCCAGAATTCCTGAGCCAGCATGGCTCAGCTTGGAAACCTCTCCCTTTCCCCTCATCATGGCTGGCTCAGGAATTCTGGGAGTTGAAGTTCACAAGTCATAAAAGGGCCAAGTTTGAAGACCCCTGCCCTAGAGCTATTTCCCTGGTTTTAAATTGATAGCGGCATAGCTGGAGTAGTATAGGTAGTCCTCAACTTACAACACTTCATTTAGTCACCATTTTAAGTTACAATGGCCTGAAAAAACCTGACTTATGACCATTTTTCACACTTATGACCTTTGCAACATCCCCACGGTCACAGGATCAAAATCCAGACACTTGGCGACTGGCTCATATTTATGACGGTTGCACCGTCCCAGAGTCATGTGATCCCCTTTTGCGACCTTCTGACAAGCAAAGTCAATGGGGGAAGCCGGATTCACTTAGCCACCGTGTTACTTACTTAACAACCGCAGGGATTCACTTAGCCACTGTGGCAAGAAAGGTCGTAAAGCGGGGTAAAACTCACTTAACAAATGTCTCACCTAGCAACAGAAATTTGGGGCTCAATTCTGGCCGTAAGTCTCGGACTAGCTGGTCTAGTGGCTTCTCTAACAGAGAGTAGGGATTATGAGATTTACTTGCAGTGAAGAGTAATAATGGAAAGTACCAGCACTGGAGAAGAGAAGGAAGAAAGCAACAAGAGTTTGGCTTTACAAAAGGGTACCTGAGGTTGCTGGAAAGGCTCCCCACTGGTAAGGCCAATGATAATAAAAGGTATATGGTGCCCGAGCCTCAATAGGCGACCGATTGATTTTTCTTGTAAAACCTGAAAACTCGTAAATTCCCCTGCTGCATTTATCCTCCTGCCCACAAACGGCATTTGATTACAGGTAGTAGTCATCCGTTAACAACCGTTTATTCAGCAACCTTTCAAAGTTACGGCAGGGTTGAACGAGGAGGCTTTATGGCCAGTCCTCCAAGTTGTGCCCGTTGCAGTGTCCCCGCAGTTAACGGGATGATTTGGGCACTTGACAGGCGGCTTGCAAGTAACAACGGTCGCAGCGTTCCCCAGGCACGCAGTTTTTTGCCTTTTGTGTCTTTCACTGCTGACTTCCAAGGAGCAAAGACAACGAGGAAGCTGGCAAACGGGGTTGCGAATGAGGTTTATGTGACGTTGGACGTAACAACCACAATCGCAACAGCCCAAATTGCCACTGCAAGTTGGCACGGTCCCGTGGCATTGCGTTTTATGGACTGCGTTGTTTTTGTGATGGAATTCGCAGTCCCAGTTGTCACCCTCAAGCGAATGCTGCTGTTTTCCATCCCACTCGCTGCAACTCTTAAACCGTTTTTGCATATTCCTGAGCTAAGGAAGTTTGTTGCCCCTGTTCTTGAAGAGACACCAATCTATCCAAGGGGTCTTGGATAGGTCTCTGAGCAAGGTGCCCTCTGCAAATGATATTCACAGCCTCCCTTCACACAGTCTGATCAACCTTACCGATGATCTTTAATTGGTTCAAAGCAAGACAGCAAGTTGACTGATGGTCTGCTGCAAGCTCTAGGTTTTATGACTGCAGCTTGCTGCTACTGCTGCTTCTCTCTTCCTGCCTGGTGAAAAAACCCCCTCATCTGCTGTAACTATTTTGTAAGGGTCATCGTACATTGAAGCTTAACGCTTGGGGTGCATTATGCTGCTCTGCAGAAGTT